AATAATATACTCTTTAATATACTAGTTGTGTTTTAGCTCTACTAAATGTTATGTTAACTATGTTTTTAAAAAATTTGACATTGAAAACAAATATTAAAACTAAAAAAAATTTTTGGTAGGTTTTGGTTGGTTTTGGTTTTAGGAAATCTTAGTAGGAAAAAAAATTTGTCTGTGGCATTGCTGATACCTACGTTTGTGCATGCATATACACTAGACTGCGTCACTTCCCATACAAAAACAAATCGGTACTGTGTTTCCATTGGAATTATAAAATCTATTAAATTTTAAGGCTTTAAGACTAAAATATTTCGGAAATATATTAAGATTTACGTGATCTGGAGCGATTTGAAAATATCTCCAAAAATGGAGTTTTTTATGTATAAAAATAGTTTCTTAAAGAATTTTTTGCAAAAATGCCCTCAAATGCCAAAACATTTTAAGCTTAAAAAATCTGCATAAAAATAAAAAAAAAATAAATAAACGGAATCGTAATAATGAGATTTCTAAGATTGGTATAAGAAAAACTTGAACAACTGGTTCAAAACTATTCCAATTTAGGCTTGTGAGGTATCATTGGAAAGGTATTTTCTCACCCCATTTAGTTCTTTGCAAATGAACTCGTGAAGTATGAAAGAGAAAGGTATGAAGAACGAGCGTCATTTCAAGTTGAATTAAGGTGTGTTAGTATTTTAAAAAAATGGGACGTGAAAGATCTTTTTTGCAAAGATATAAAATTAGCGGGAAGTCTAATTCGGAATAGTTTTGGCCTAGTTATTCAAGTTTTTCTTAAACCAATCTTTGAAAAACTTAAAAAAAAACAGCCTCGAAAATCTCATTATAATGATTCCTTTGAAATTTTTTTTAAATTTTTATGCAGATTTTTTAAGTTTAAACTGGTTTGTCATCTGAGGAGATTTTTTCAAAAAGTCCTTTAAGAAACTGTTTTAATTCATAAAAAAACTTCATTTTTGGAGGTATGTTCAAATTGGTCCAGCTCACGTAAATCTTAATATTTTTCCGAAATATTTTGGTGAACTTCTTCAAATATAATATATGTATTTTGTAGTTCGGGCGGAAAAACAAAAACTTTTTTTGGTGATGCAGTCTAATATACATATGTATGTTCATGCATTAAGGGTAACGCCGGCGGGGCCACATTACACACTTAGGTAGGCAGATTTGAATAAGCTGCCTTCTTAATCAGAAGAAAAACTACTATATACTTACATACATACATAAATGTGTATAAAAAGGTAAAAATGGTTGCTACAATTCTAAACCAGGCTGGTGCAAGGAAATCGTGGAACTTTGCGACCTCTACTACATTTACCACGTAAAGGAGCGAAAATTCGGTATTGGAATTGTGGTGGGAGAAAGACAGCGTCGCCAATTCCTGTCACTCACCCCATTGGACTTTGATCAATATTTTGTTGCAGCCAAGATACGCACCCGCCTCTGTGCAGCAAAAAATGTGCGCCCAACAATGCAAGGAAGGCTCAACGTCGAAAAGCTACGATCACAACAGGCGGCCAATTTATTCGACTCTCACACCTGCTCTCTGAGAGTACTCTTCAACAAATTGACATACGCGAGCAGTGGAACCATATTTGCCGCTAATTAAGTACCGCCGCCGAAGAAGTATTCGGATTTCAGCGAGCCCGAAAGAGCAACTGGTACGATTAGGAGTTAGAGTTTTCAACTAGGTTGCGGAAGTTAGTTGTTTTGGAATGCGGCTATATGCGGCTTTGATGACTTGATCATGTCGTACGAATGGACAGAAACCCACCAGCTCTGAAAGTATTTAACGCGGGTCACGATGCTGGTAGCAGAGGAATAGAAAGGCCACCCTCCACTGCGTTGGAAAGATCAGATGAAGAAGGGCTTGGCTTCACTTGGCATTTGCACTTGGCACAGAAGAGAAACGACTGGAGTGCTCTTTTGGACTCGGCCAAAATAAAATGATGGTGACTTCGAAAAAAGAACATAGTCTTCGTAGTGTTATTAGTTCCTCTTTCTTTCTCTGTAGCATTACCGTAATGCCATCCTGCTGATTTGAAAGGGGAAAAGTTGCTTATAGCACACATGATAGTTTCCCCTGCTCACAATCGAGCCCAAAAAACTACTGTTTTGGGGTCCGAAACTAGTTGTACTTGAAGCGGTTGAATCCGGAGTACACTGGGAAGTAAGTTTTGACTAATGTCTCCAAGGAGCCTTTGGCTGAGTTTTCCACACACCTTTATCTTTCTTTAGTGAATACTTGGAGGTGTCTATGGCCGAACAGTAGGATTTCCAAGATTTTGCCTTGGTCTTTTTCTATGACATTAGGACACTTTTACAAGGCGCCCAATTTTTTGTTTTAAAGCAGTCATGACAAAGTTGTATAATTTTGTTTCTTATAGCTCTTAGATCCCCTTTACGATACTTATTAGGGTTGGCACATCAAAGGCTTTTCTTATAGCAAGGTCCTCGACTGATCTCTTTTCCTAGATTTCTTTTGCATATCTGATTAGTCAATATTCTATTGTACATGCCCAAACAGTTCTTTGAGGGTTCCTGTATCCTGAGGAAGTAATGCATATGCCACGAAGTTTAAAGAGGATCATACAGTGGTCAGACCTTGACGGCATATATAATACTTGTTCTCCAATCTTCTACGCGAACACTGTCATTTTCCGACAGCAGTGTTAAGTCCAGCAGTTCCTTCCATCCAGGGAATCTATCTGTGCCCGGTAGGTCTATTGCTCCTGTTAAAAATACTTCGCTCATTCCGTGGTGAGGACCCAAACTGAATGTATAGTGTTCACAACGCAGCCCATCAAAACAATTTTTCAGGAGTTCTGTACTAGGATTTCGCTGAGTTCTGGAGGCGGACTGTCCCTGTCATGGGCCATATAGGACGATACCACAAGTTTGCTGTACAGTCTATACAGTAGCACAGTTCGAGAGCTGCATATTTATTTGGACAACGGTAAGCTTATTGATCGGGGTCATCTGATCGGCTAGCCTCTCGTAGGAAAACCCTCATTCTAGCCTTATTAATGCCGATCCTATAAACAGTCTTTGTTTACTAATCACTTTCCATATTTTTACCCATATTTATGTAAGCATTTGTGTTTAATTTCGAACACCGCCTTCATGACCATCTTAAGAGTTCTTAGCTATACGTACATACATACATACATATAAGCAATCATATCTTTTGGACAACAGCTTTTTGCGGCTGTGTACGCTAAAGCCTAAGGATATCTTGTTGTTCTTGTTACCACTTATTAGATGTCTATGTTGTATATATGTACATACATACATATGTGCATATGTTTGGCTGACTGTTCATAGAACACAAGTACATATGTACTTATGTCTGCGTGGCCATGTATCTATCTAGATTTGTACTTAAAAAATGCGCCGGAAGCCGCCGCTATGTTTCCTCATTTTCATTCGCTTGTTGTAATTTTATTTCCCCGCCCATGAATAAGCTACGCATCCTCCGCCACATCCACAGACATGTAAAGTCTACTTTTAACAAAGTAATTGTGTTGATGTTTAACATTCTTTTTTCCAGCGTTTTGTGCACGCGAAACAGTTTTAAAATTGCCTCCAGTAACGAACCTATGAGGCTCTAAAATTTACTGAAACCCCATTTGGCGGTTAATGACTTACAAGATTTAATGTACGGGCAGAACTTATAATATTGAATATAATGTTTATATACCCAAAGCATACATATTAAAAACTTAAAGCATTTAAAAAAAAATTTCTCCTGCAGTCAATATTTCTAAAAGTACTCATACATGCATACATATGCATGATACAAAACAGAAGGTACTGGTTTCAATAAACAACTTTTGGATTAACAAGTAATGAAGTATAAGTTCGGGCGAAACCGAATTTTATAGACCTGGCGCAGGCATCACCTATCGTCGCTCCAACTTTCTTTAAACTACCTATAAGTCTATAACAGTCTTATTTATTGTAAAGAGATTGTTGTAAGTATTAACTTGGAGTACCTTAACGTCCTCAGTTATTGAAATATCGGAGTTTTCGTATATCCGAAAATTACCGTTATATGGGAAACCGGTGCAATTTTAGTCCGATGTGAATAATTTTCAACGAAAAACAAGGTTATTAAATACACCAAGTTTGGTAAAAATTTACAAATCGGTTACCGAGATACACATTTGTGGTCAGAAGTAGGCGGTGCCACGCCCAAAACCCATTTTTAATAATCTAATATATAATATATGAGAAGGGGGCGTGGTTATAGTCCCATTTCACCAATTTTCAATAGCAACCTACCTTGAATAAAGGACAACCTATATACCAAATTTCGTTGAGATATCCCAATTTTTGATCGAGTTTTCGTGTACACGGACAGACGGACGGACCGGCAGACAGACATGGGTTAATCGACTTATCTTTTCATTCAGCCGCGTGCTCCAACCCCGCTTAACTCTGCAGTTTTCAAAATAAGTTAGTTTCAAATGTAATGCAAATTAAATTCGATAAAACAGGTTTTGATTATAGGTTCTTGGTGGTACTAATGGGATTTTAAAAGACACATTTTTTATCCTTTTTACGAAACTGAAAAACTAAACTGGGGACTGCTCCGCTTCAAGCCAGGTGAAACAAGGGATGACGAAAATTCGTTCCACGATACATACATAATTTTCGCAGGCTGCAACATATTCTTAGATCGTAACCAAAGAATGACTGAACGTTCTACAAAAACCTGGACCCGAATCATGGCATCCGATTAGAAATTATAAATTTAATTTCGAGATTACAGTACTCGTTGGTGAGCCCGGTTTTCAATTTAAATTGCATTGGAGAGAACAGCTGTTATTTTAAGTAACTCGATTCGAAGCGGCCACAGAGACCGTAGTTCGGGTCCTGAGTTTGATCATCAAATCAGTCAAATATTTGAAGTATTTTGCAGGTATTATTTTTTTTTAATTTTTTTTTCTTGTTAATTCCTTTTTATTTGTTTTTTAAATCTTACATTTAAGACACCCAGTCAAATTCATTTATTTTCTGTTTGAAAACATACAAACTATTAATCTTATTACTATATCAGAAGAAGCTTTTAGTTAATTTCATTTTATCAGTGACCATCCAAATTGGGCTTATCAGTGAATGTGATTTCATTGGCTGGACCAGAGCGTTGGTACTCAATGAGTACGATACGATTGTCGCCGCTTTTAAGTACTTCACGTGGCACATAGAGCGTCACTTGTGGCCCTGCCTCTGGCCAATAGCGACCCAAATTTTCTCCATTCACAAACACCAAGCCCTTACCCCAACCTCTGGTATCTAAGTACGTATCACCAATTTGTCCATCTGCTATCGATAGTTGTCCATAGTAAATTGTAGGTCCATTCCACAATACTGAACCACCCTTCTCTTCGTGGAAACCCAGCACAGCATTTTGCTCCTCGGCATTAACCGATGCTATAAGTGTCTCAATGTCCTCAATCGATTCTAGTGGATACTTCGTCATTGTCCAGTTGGACAGTACATCTTTGTCAAGCACAACATTACTAATGATGCCCTTAAAATCGGTCACAGGTCCGAAGTTAATGCGTCCCTGATTCTCGACCAGCAATTGCAAATGCGTACCATAGCTAGGACTGATAGGCAGCTCAAATATGGGTGTCTCGCGAGAGAGTATGCCCACTAGCTGCTCATCAATGTATACGTAAGCCCGATCGTGTACGCCGGTGGCACGTAAAATACTTGGATCACGGTTGAAGTCCGGCAGCACGGTTTCGTATAGTACAAAACCTGAATACTGATCCAGCGCTTCGAATGTCTTAGGTTTCGTACTGACTATAACGCCAGTGGAGAGTATTTCACGACCCTTTTCTGACAACATTGAACAGCAAGCGCTCAGTCGAACAGTGCCATAGTGCTTTTTAGGTACTGGTGCTGGTAGCGGTACATTCGGTATCGGTAAATAGCGAGTTATAATTTCGCGCAATTTATGAAACTTAGCAGTGGCATCGCCAGCCTCGTCCATGGGTGCATCGTAGTCATACGAAGTGATATCGGGTTGATAGCGACCGGGACCACCGTCGTTGGCGCCAGCGGTGAAGCCAAAGTTCGTGCCGCCAAACATCATGTAGAAGTTAACGCTAGCCCCTGCGTCCAACATTTCACTGAAAATGAATTTAGAAAAAGTACCGGTTAGTAAATAACTACCCATTTATATTTTATCAATGCCTAATACGTACACAAATGCTTTTGTAATCGCCTCAGTGCGCACACGTGCCATCGGCTCTGACCAATGTGTCAGCCAGCCTGGGTAGAACTCTGCATTTACTAGCGGACCTTTCGGTTGTATCTGCCGCAAACGTGCCCAATAGCTACTTATCTGATTTGTGGCACCGAAATCCATTGTGGCCAATACACCTTCAATATGACCACAACTGAGCACACTTGGACCGTCATTAGTGAATAGCACGGCATTGTCTTGCACATGCGTGAGTGTTTCGTCTCGCAACCACGTACGATACTTCTTATCACAGGCATAATAGGAACCGTATTCATTTTCTACTTGCACCATAATTATGGGGCCGCCATTGCCGTAGAGATATGGTTTAAGGCGGCTGAACAGCACATTATACCAAGTGCGCACTTCGAACAGATAGTCTGTAGAGTTACGGTATTAATGGTATTGATCCAAATAATATACATATATTTAAGTCGGGCTACTTACTTATATCAGATGTGCGCAGCTTTATGTTGGGATATTTGGTGAGCAGCCAGTAGGGAAATCCACCCTGAAAGTATATCAGAAAGGGTATGGACATTAGTATATACATACATATATAAAAGGTATCTAAAATGGCAAATTTTTTAATTTAATTGCAACTTTTTTCTCAAGATAACCAATGTTTTCGTATAAGAAGCTCTAAGAGCAAAACACATGAAGTCCAAACTTCAGATTATTGTGGTTTGCACGTCTAGCTCATTTTATTAATTTTTTGGGTAATACTAAAAAGCTTTTCCATATCTTGCAATGCATATATGAAGCTACGGAGGTATTTATTTGCTATGTACTTAGGTCTTACACATTTTAACTAGTAATTAGGGGCAATAAGAAAATCACCAAATTGGGATCACTGGTTTACCCAAAGGCATGGACACATTTTGGTGGTTATCGGATCACCCGATTACGGGGTTAAATGTTTTTTTCTTCTTCTTGCTTTGGCCCTGTATCCAGCTCCGGCCGTTCAAACCATTCAAAGCAATCTCGAATTTCTAGTTGAAACCAAGAAAACGTTAAAATTTTTGCAATATTCAAGTGCAACAACTAATACTAACGTAAATTACAAATTAGTTCCTTATTTTTATATGGGATTATTTGAAATACGTTTCACTTATTGCAACATTAACTAAATTTTTTTTTATATGTACTTCAGATGTGTAATCATATATGTTTTTAGAAACTCCCAGAGTAACAAGGAAATCTAATAGAGAGTTCAAAATTTTGTTCAATTGTTCAACCATTGCAAATTATAAAAAAGTAAATTAAAATTCGTAATCAGGCTCGACCCTATTAAGCTGGCATTTCAGGGTACTAATATACATACAGATAGATAAAATTTGAAAGTTAGGGGGGCTCGAGCACCCCCCTGCCCCTACCTGGCTACGCCCATGTACTTACAAAATCACGTTCCGCACATATATAAGGTCCAGGACGCAGAATAACTAGTAGACCCAGCTCATCTGCTAGCTTGATGAATTTCTCCAAATCCGCAATGCCATTCCACACGTAAGTGTCATCTTTTGGATTATGCAGTGACCATTCCACGTACCTGATAGAAAGAGAAAAAAATATATATGTAAATAGTTGAGTTTCGTTTATTCTATTTTTTTCAAGCCGTCTTTCGAATGACTCGAAAAAGGCAATTTGAAAAAAAACGGTCTCCAATTTTTTTTTTTGGAAAAAACTCAATTAAACCGTAGGCAATTTGAGTGAAAAAATGAATTTTTTGTCTGTAAATTGCTTTTCGTGAAACTGACTATTACTGTTAGTCACAAATGAAAGCAAAAGTTTAATAAAATTTAGTCACTGTTCGTGAAACCGATCACTAAAAAGGAAAGGGGTTCCCAAAATATAACTCTGCAAAATTATTTCTTCTTCTACTTATTTACATAAACAATTGGATGTAATTTTCAGCGTTCATTCTTGTTATGGCGCATGATTTTCTTGGCAATATTTATTTATAAAAAATGTTTGAAAAACATCGTTCTGGTGCATCAAAAAATCTGAAAAATATTTCAAACATTTTTCTTATTAAGAATTAGAAGCTTCCGGTGAGCAAATTAAATTTTTGGCACAAATGACAGTTACTCGGTTTTGCAGAACGATGATACGCGGTTTTGTACTTTAAACGACGATATGCAAATTACAAAATGTGCGTATTTTTTGTTTAAAAGAATTGATCTTTTAAATTTGGTGCTGCATGTACATATGTATTTCCTTGATTTTTAGGCTTTAGAAAAATCTTTAAATTTATTTCAAAACACGCTTTCAAAAATTAAATAAAGGACATATTGAATCCACACAAAAATTTAAGATACGTATAAATATGTTAGAGGAAAACCTGCTTATTCGATAAAAAAAAACTCCGCTTTAGACGATATTCGGGAAATCACGATTTCAAAGAAAACCGCCAAAAACCCCATTCGGGATATCCGAGTCGAGTCCTCGAGCAGCGGAGTTTTTTTTTTTTTGTAAATTTATTTATTTTTTCTTTTATAGTTTTTTTAATTTCTTGAAACTTTTTCATTTGTTTTCCTTTATTTTTAGATTTCATTGTTTCAAAAATAAAAATATTTACTTTTAATTCATTAATTTTTAGAAACACATATTTCTTATTACTTTTTCTTTTTTATTCAGTTTTCTTTTAGTTTTTAGATTTTATTTGTTTATATGTTGAATATCATTTAATTTTTAGAAACTTATTCTATTTTTTTTCTTTGTTTTGGTTAAATTTTTTCTTTTAAATTTACGCTTATATTATTTTAAAAGGAAAAGAAAAATTTTTAATTTCATTTAATTTTTAGGAACTGAAATGTATCAGGTGGCAAAATAACAAAATAAAACGCGGTCGTCGGTCTCGGTGTCCAAAATCGAATGTCTTCTTTATTGTTCTTGAAAATGGCGCATAGCATTTTACAAACAACGGGTCTTACTCGTTAAAATACAACTAGTCTTAAGGTCTAGTTACTTAGCCTACTTATGGTCTAATCACAAGCACATGTGTATACCTAAAGCCCTATTCACACACGCGTACGTGCCTACGGTCCTACAACTCGGCCGTCCTGACATATAGAATCTCCTGATTCTATGACGACAAGTTTATACAGTGTTACGTTCATGCGCAACTAACTTTAACATTTTATAGTTTTGTCGTGACTTTGGTTTTCTTATGATCGTACCACGGTTTTAAGTTCGTAACTGACCAAATGCCTTTGTAAGGTATCTGTGTCTGTTGAAACCCTTCTACGTCTTCGACAGCGTAGCGGTCGTTTTCTAAAATTTTTGATATTCTATATGGTCCCTTGAATTTGGGTATTAACTTGCTGGACGCTCCTATTTGTGAGCTGACATTGGAAACCACTACGTAGTCGCCAACTCTGAACTCTCGTGGCTCTTGTCGCTTGGCGTCTGAATACTTCTTATTATAACTTTGCGCTTTTCTTTGAACTGCCTCCGCTTGCTCTCTAACTTTTTCTATTGCTACTGGGCTTGACGACTGCACCGTTTCTAACACATTTTCTCTGAGACTGTCTATAACTTTACCTTTTTGTGCTACTCCGAACAGTAATACACTAGGTTGCTCCTTTGTTGCTTTGTGCACCGTGTTGTTCATCGCATGCTCTACTGATTCTAACACTTTGTCCCACCCTATCTCTTTCTCGGAATCTACCATCTTTGCAATCATCGGGCCTAAGCTTTTGTTAACGATCTCGGCTAGGCCGTTTGCCTGGGGTGAACTTGTCGCAACTTTGATGTGCTCAACGTTGTTGTTTACTAAAAATTCCTCAAATTCGTTTGAAGTAAAGCTTGTCCCTCTGTCTGACACTATGAACTTTGGTCTACTGTACGCTCTAAAGTAGTCCTTTAACGCTATAACTGCTTCTTTTGACGCTGTCGTTTTCGCGGGGTAGAGGCGGACAAATTTCGTGAAGGCATCTATTATTACTAAAATGTGCTTATACTTTGTAGACTTGCTATGGATCGGTCCGTAGTGGTCAACGTGTACCATTTCGAACGGTTTGTTTCCCTTCGGTATCATGTGCAGAAGTCCCTCTTTTCTACCACTTTTGCTGGAAAATGCTATACATTTTAGGCAGTTTTCTATGTGGGCAACTGCTTTCTTTCTGACACTTGGGAACCAATAGCTCTTTCCTATGGATTCCACAACTTTCTCTACACCTAAATGCCCCATTTCGTCGTGGTACTTATACAAAACTACATAAAAAAGTAGATTTCTACCCATAAAAAAGTAGATTTCTACCCTTCCTGTATACTATTCCGTTTCTCATTTCATAGTGACTGTTCTCGCTAACTTCTAACTCCTTTTTTATTTTCCCTACTTTCTCGTCTCTACTTTGGCATATGATGAGATTTTCTTCAAAAGTATTCGTGTGAACTACCAGTATATTATTTATTCTACTTAGTGCATCTACGTGTTGCATTCTTTTACCGGCTCTATGTTCAAGTTCATAATCGTAGTTTTGCAGTTCCAATGCCCACCTCGCTATTCTTGGGCTCATGTCTTTCTTATTAAGCGTCAAGGTCAGCGAGTTGCAGTCGGTTATAATCTTGAACTTTATGCCTTGCAAATATATTCTAAATCTTTTTAATGCGTAGACAATCGCTAGAGTTTCTAACTCGAAACTGTGGTATTTAGATTCGGTGTCCGTTGTACGTTTTGAAAAATAAAACACTGGGTGTAGCTTCCCGTCTTTCTTCTTTTGCAGTAATATCGCCCCAAACCCTAAAGCACTTGCGTCACAGTGTAACTCTGTTGCGTCATTTGGGTCATAGATTGCCAACAGTGGTGACGCCTTCAATTTTGTTTTAAGACTGTTGAAAGATTCTAACTCTACTTTGCCAAACTAAAATTTTGTGTCTTTTTTCGTAAGGTCGTGGAGGGGCTTGGCTATAGTCGAAAAATCCTTAATAAATCTTCGGAAATATGAGCATAAGCCTAAAAAGCTTTGAACTTCGACGACTTTAGTCGGAACGGCAAAGTTTTCTATTGCGTTCAGCCCCTTCTCGTCCGCCTGTATACCTTTACCAGTAATAACATAGCCTAAATATGACACCTTCGACTGCAAAAACTCACACTTATCTAAACGCAGCTGTAAGTTATTCTGTACAATTTTTAATAATACTTTTTCTAATATTTCGATATGTTCTTTGATGCTCTCCGTTGCTATCATGATATCGTCGAGATAAACTATAACCTCGCCCTTGCGAATCATCTCTGAAAAAATTTTATTAAGAAACTTTTGGAATGTTGCCGGTGCATTTTTCAATCCGAACGGCTTTCTCAAAAACTCATATTGCCCTAAAGGTGTAGTAAACGACGTATACTTTATCGAGTCTTCGCTCATAAAAACGTGAAAAAACCCGTTCTTTAGATCCAGCTTTGTGAAAAATTTCTTGTTCGCTAACCTGTCTAACAAATCGTCAATAAGTGGCAACGGATAACTATCTTTTGCCGTAACTTTGTTTAATTTTCTGTAGTCGACGCACAAACGAAGTTCACCCGTTTTCTTTTTAACTAACACTATGGGTGACACAAACTCTGACTCACTAGGGCGTATGTAACCTTTTTGTAAGTATTCGTCGATTATATTCTGCAACTCTATCTTTTCTTTGTACGAAAGTCTTCTTGGAGCACATGCGAACGGACTACTTTTTTCTAACACAAGTTTCATTTCTTTTCTGACCATTGGCTTGTCATTCTTCTTTGAGTTTACGTAAATTCTTCTGAAAATCTCCTGAAAAAGTATTTTATCATCGTAGTTGACTTCATCGCCCACTTTGAGGTCCATAGCTGCTTTTTCGCACACTTCTATTGCCATAATTTCGTTTATGGCCTCATTAACCTCACAATCTTCGACCGCATAATTGGCGTTGCTCATGTTTTCGCACGTGCTCTTCCTTGTTGTACCTAAATTAAAAATTTTCTCAACTTTGTCTACTTTCTCAACTTCGTCCACCTTCTCAACTTCGTCCACTTTCTCAACTTCGTCCACATTGTTCACACCATTAGCTGCCTCTACTTGTACTACCCTATCCATAAACTCAACATTTCCGATTTTTAACTTAGCGTTACTTGCCTCAATAAAATCTCTACCCAGTAGCACCGAATAACCAATACACCCATTAGGAACCACTAAGAATTCAACTAAAACGTCTTTATTCAAAACTTTGACGATACATTTAACTTTTCCAAGTATATTCAAAACTGATTTATTTAAACCGTAGTACGAATCATTTACTTCATCGAAATTCACTCCTGACGGTACCACAACTTCTTTTATTAAGCTAACTGGGCTGCCTGAATCAACTAGACATTCTATAAACATACAAGTATTAACATGTGCTACATACAATCTAAAATAACTTACGAAAGTATTCTTCTCCCTCTTGTACTGCTTGCAGTCTGTTGCGTAGTGACCCTTCTCTCCACATGCGTAGCACGATCCGGCTTCCCGCTTAGGCTTTCTGCAATCTTTGGCATAGTGGCCGGAACAGTTGCAATTGTAGCATCTGAAGCGTTCATCGGAGCGTGGTTTTGCTGCCGGACGTTCTGGCAACGTGACTGATCTGAACGCCCTGACGACTTCGTTTGCCGACGCAAAACTGTGTAGCCTTGCTTGTGTACGTAGCTGCCGGTCTGGTATTCCTTCGATGAGGTAGTCGGCGAACTCTTCATCGCTAAGGCTCAAGTCGCTGCTCAATGTGCATTTGTCGTTATAGTAGCTGATGAAGCTTTCTTCAGGCACCCACATCCGCTTTTCGAACTTACGCCGGCGTTCGAGTTTTCTCTCGTTTGATGTAAAAACTGTCTTCATATCACGTAGCAGCTCGTCTGCGCTCTTATGGAACGTTGATTTCGCGTTGTACCACGCTAAAGCGGCGCCCTTTAAATTTAAGTGTACGGCTACACACAGCATCGCATCGTTGGCTTTAAAAATTTCGCGATAGTGCATCACCTGGTTATACCACGCACTAAAACCATCGCCGCCATCGTAGGTTGGTATAACCTCTTTTAATGTCTCAAATGGGATGCCGTCTTCTGCTTTAGTCCTGCTCGCCATTGGCCTGTTCTGCTCCCATTGTGCCTGCTGGAGTTTAAGCAGTCTTATTTCCTTCTCAAGCAGTTCAATTTTCCTGGCCGCTGCTTCGGCGTCGCCGTCGTCACGAATAGCGGTTAACTGCCCTGCTGTACGGTTACTTGTGCCGCTATTTTCTTCGGTGTCTCTAACTGGACGACTTCCGAAAGCACCGTTACGGACGTACGCTACGCCGCTCTGCACATATACAGGGTCGTCGTTATCGATCACCATTACATTACCGCGCCGTTGTGCACTTTTGCTCCTCAATACTCTGCCGTTGTTCTCGTCGTTGCTTCTGCCGTTGCTCACACCGTTGCCGTTCAAGTTGCTATCGTCCTCGTCGTTGTCCTCTACGTTGTCCTCCACGTTGTCCTCTCCGTTGCTCTCGCCGTTGTCTTCACCGTCGTCTTCTCTTTGAATACATTGCTCGGTGGTCTTTGCGTCATACCGTTGCTCACCCGCTTTGTCATTGCCTGGGCATAATCCTCGAGCTTCGGCGGAAAGCTCGCTCAGCCTAGCCGCTAACGACGCCTTTGCGCCGCTCGCATTGATGCCCACGGCCGTGCACCAAGTTTTTAATTGCAATAGCGAGTATTTTTCCGCGTTCACAGCTTCGCGATTCATCGTAAAATTATTTGCTTTCCGCGCTACTTTGATATTCGAAAACTAACTTTTACTTTAATTTGGTTCTAAGACCACTTCTGATGAAATGTATCAGGTGGCAAAATAACAAAATAAAACGCGGCCGTCGGTCTCGGTGTCCAAAATCGAATGTCTTCTTTATTGTTCTTGAAAATGGTGCATAGCATTTTACAAAAAACGGGTCTTACTCGCTAAAATACAACTAGTCTTAAGGTCTAGTTACTTAGCCTACTTATGGTCTAATCACAAGCACATGTGTATACCTAAAGATCTATTCACACACGCGTACGTGCCTACGGTCCTACAGAACTTATTTTATTTTTTATTTTCTTAATCTATTTTTTTATTAACTATTTTCATATGATTATTCGTTTTTTACAGATATTATTTATTTAGAAAGATATTTTTTAATTTGTTTTAATTTTAATAAAATTATGTTTTAATTTTTTTTAATTAATTTTTTTCTTTTTTTTAATATTCTAGCTTTTGAATTAAAAGAAATATATATATATATATATTTTTATTTCATTTAATTTTTAGAAAAAGTATTGCTAAATATACACGCTAAGATCTCCACGTTATCAGGTCTTCCAATTAACCTCTGGAAGACAGAAAAGAGCTATCAAGATTGTTGGCAGAGTTGACAATTGTCTTACGAAAGTCTTTTGTCTTTAGAAAGATTGTGGTGAGTTGAAAGACAGTTGCTATTTGCTCTTTTCGTTGCAAATCCGTTGTTATCAATGACAGCTTTGTATTGGCGGCGTATTTACCACTGTGTTCGATTACGATGTAAGGAAAATCCCGTATATATTTTAATTTTATAAAAAGAATATTCAAACTTTAAGGGCTGTTTGGAACTCTCAACAAAAACGAAAATTTCATAGAAAATCACGTACCATAAATGGAAAAGGAATTTTCATCTATACAAATTTCTTAAATCAGTTTACAGCTCTCAAGAAAAGAATGCACGTTAAGTTTTTTCTTCAAGGAAAGAATATTACATTATTTCTTGTGATTTTTCTTGAGAGCTGCAAACAGCTCTTTTACAAGGAAGAAATTAAAAAGAAAACAAATCGATTGTAATTTTCTTTTAATTTGTATTAATACCTGTTCTTTTGTCAAAAAATCAAGCTACTAGCGATGCAAGTCGATGGATAAATAAACTAGTTTTGAGTGGTTATTAGAGCTGCAAAAACATCGGAGCACTATCGATAGTATCGATGTTTTAATATTTTTTTTTTTTTGAAATCATCGATCTTTTTTTTACTATCGACGTTTGTAGAAGATATGCCATCATTAGGAAGTTTATCCGTTGTTGATTTGGGGCAGGCAAAATTAAAGCGTAATTAACTCATAATATTTAACAGTTCAGCTTAATTTTAACGCAAAAGCGTACCTATAAGTCTTTACTCATAAAAATAATTTTGTCAGTGCCATTCGTGAAGTGTACCCTAGGTTATTGCCTTGAAGAGCAAATATTTAATGTATTTAATAAAACATTAATTATAACACATATTAATAGTGTTGTTGCTTTATGAATATTTTTTATATTATTTTTCATTTAATTAATTAATAACTTGAAATATTCAATGTGCCCTTAAATATAAGTCAAATTAAACATTAAATTACTTAATGGATAATTTTAAAATAATAAAGGTAATTTGTTACAAAATCATGTTTGTTAATTGATCAGAATTTCAATTCTAAAGAAAAAGTTATAGTTCCCAAGAAAACACGATAGTATCGATACTATCGATGTATTATTGGCAAAAACATTCAAATATCGATGTTTTTGCAGCACTAATGGTTAATTAAATTGTCCAATAATTTCTTGTAGGGCTAGGAAATAATATTACTCATATTCCACATTGTACATGGCGTATGAGTAACATTTTCCATGTTAAAGTTTAACATTTTTTTATTCGCAATGCAAACTTTAAATGAAAATATCTTGGGGGAATGTTCTGATCTAGAAAAACGATACACGGATCCAGTTGATAGATACCCAAAATTAAGTTTACAGGTTTTCGAGTTATTCTAAAAATGGCATTTTGAAAAAACCCGTCCTCCATTTTCCAAATTATTAATTAAGCAAGGAAAAAATTGCTAGATTCTGATACTCACGTCGTGACCGCATTCAAGCCGGACGCACGTAACGTCTGTAGCTTTCGTTGCCAACTATCAGGATGCGCGCGAAAGTAGTGAAAAGAACCAGCTATGAATCGAAATGGCTCGCCATCCTTTAAGAAACGATCATTATTCCAATCAACGGTAAAGTTGCGTGACGTAGAGATGCTATGCGCATAGAGCTGATGTACGCCAAACAGCGCCAGCAAACTTATCGCTAAGATTTGCATTTTCTGTAAAAGTAGGAAGAATAAAACAAAATAAATAACACAACAAATAAAAAAAATGTCGCTATGTGCTAATCCGAAGAGCTAAGCATACATACATACATATTCTACATAAATATTTATTTAGGAAGTACATATGTAATTCCAAGTAATGACCTCAAATGCGATCAAGAAGCTGCTGCATTTCTATAGCTAAGTGTTAATTAAATCATTCTTTAGCGTATGCAGTACGACGATAGTGTCAAGATCCGCAAAACTGAATAATGACAAATTAGATTGAACTAGATTAGATTAGTAACGCGCTTATATGAGCTACATGTATACACTAGGGATGTTGCGAATGTGGAATTTTAGGCGTCAAGTATTTTTATACCCGAGCGCACTTGTACACAAGGGTATTATAACTTTGTTCACATAACGTTTGTTTGTAACAGGCAAAACGAATCGAGATAGATATAGACAAATGTATACGTAAATGATCAGAATTAAAAGAGAAATCGATTAAGCGGTGACTGTCTGTCCGTCCGTCCGTCCGTCCGTCTGTGCACACGATAACTCGAGTAAAAATTGAGATATCTTAACGAAACTTGGTATGTGCACTTCTTTCGGGCGTAGGGCGGATGGTATTGAAAATGGGCAAAATCGGACAATAACCACGCCTACCTCCCATATAACGGTAATTTTCCGAAATACGAAAACTGCGATATTTTAGCAACTACTGAAGATTATTCACTCAAAATTGATATTTGCAATAATTTTTAGACGAAAAATAAGAATATTATACATTTTTGGAAAATGGGCGTAGCCACGCCCACTTATGGATACATGTGTATATCTTGGTAACCGCTGCACCAACTTCTACCAAGCTTGGCACAGTTGTTAGTCTTGCTACAGCATACCAAATGGCCGAAAATTTTTAAAATCAGACAATAACCACGCCTACCTCCCATATAACGGTAATTTGCAGAAATACGAAATCTTCGATAAATCAATAAATATTAAAGCTAAGCGTAAGCGTAAGTTTAAGCGTGGCACCGCCCACCTATGATCACATATACATATGTATCTCGGTAACCGTTCCACCAATTTGTACTAAACTCGGTATTTTTATTGTGCTTGCCAAATAAAAGCAAAACGTTGAAAATTATTGAAATCGGACTAAAATTACGGCCGCTTTTTATATAACGGTAAATTTCAGAAATGCTTGAAACTTCAATATTTCGAAATTGAAGGACGCTAATTTACTCAAAATTGATACACACCGGCTTACCATGTAGCGGTACCTGCGACGGGTAATGTAATGTTTAGAAATAATTTAGGTGAGTAATTAGGTGATTTAGGTAAATAAAAAATGGAAAGGCTAGTAATTTTTAATAATGATTTTTTTATTACTTGAATTTAAGAATTGTGTTTATTTAAAACTTTTTATTAAAAAGTAATGTTGTTGCCTTGTTGTTCATATACCTGACCCAAGGTTTGTTTTATGGTAATTATTTAAAATTTTTTTATTGAAATATTTATCCTCGTTTAGACTATTCAGTTTTTAGTCTTTTTTTGTCCTTTTCATTTGATACCAAACTTGTTTAATTTGGATAAGCGGTTTGTTTACTATCCGGAAAGTACTTTTATTTCGGAAAAAAAATACTTGGCCAAGTTTAAATCGTAAAAAAATAACTGTTATTTTCGGCCCCTTCAATATTCGCAAAATATCCGCATTGATTATTGTGAATGCGAATGTTAAAATTAATGCGGAAGCTCCGCGGTTGCGAATGCGAATGCGAATATTTGCAACAACCCTGGTATACACATGTGCGTTAGGGTGGCCCTTTAATTATCTACATCAAAATTTTGCATGGGATCCAACTGCTGTCAGGGTTTGAAAATACGCACAAAAATTTTTACAAAGTTAATAAATTTTACATATATCATCGATAAAATTAAAAAAAAATGCGTTCTAAGCTCAGGAAGACCATACTAACTCCTATCTGCGTTTCTTGGTATTTTTCCATATAACTATTTGTAAACCAGTGTTACTTAGAAGTTAAGAAAAAGTTGAAATTTGTCTGAAAAAATTGACAGATAACAGTGGTTGGATGACTGTGAGTATATATGAACAGTTTTCAATAATATATCAAATTTATCAAGTTTCAATTTTTTCAAGCCTTAAAATTCTTTAAAAATTTTCTCACCCCAGCGCCCCATATAAAATGTATACATATTTTTAAGGACCACCCTAATTTACGTACATATATTTTTACTGTGCTTGTAGGTGTGCGTTTTTCTGTGTGTGCTTTCACCGGAACTGTATGCACACGGAAGCGCAAACCTAAATTTGCTATCAATGCTGACCTATCAGTAGGTGTAAACAATAGACAATGGTCGCTATAATTTCTTTGCTGGCAAATTTGACACTTCATTGCAAGTCGAGTGATGATATGCATTATTTATGTATGCTTGTACAAATGTAGATATGTATGTACATACATATGTAGTAGGTATGTGAGCCATGCATGTTAATTAACACAGCGCACTCCATCGCTAATGGCATTAGCTGCATATCTTGTTTTCCACTCTGCTAGTTTTAGAATTAATTGTGGTGTTTCGACGGCGATGATATCAAGACTGCCATTCTAGCACAAATCATATAATTGTTTGCCCTAATTTACATACATATGTAGATGGCGCCTACTCTTTGTAATTTGGCACAAGGTGCTAAAGGGTACTTTGTGAAAAATTAATCTGTTTTAAAATAGTGTTAATACTAATATGTCCGATTCAGAGTGAAAAAAAAATTTCTTCCACTTTTTTAAAGATACCATGAGAATAGCTTCTCATTGTGGATTATAGTTCCTGCATGCCTTTTAAAATTTTTTATTTTGCAAAATAAAAGGAAAGGTTTGCCTGATAGTTTTTGAATAGAAAATAATCGGTTTTGGTTTTACGGGAATTAATGAAAGTCAAAGTTACAATTTGAATGTTCCTTCTTTTTCTGAAAAAGGCAGCCTTGTGCGTACTCAAATAATAGAGTTTTCATTGGGATACTTAATACACCTGAATAATTAAGTACCAGGTTAGGCCAAAAATATTTAATACACTTCATATATACATATCTACATACTGAGTGGCCATGATTTTTGGAGTTACATTTTTTTGAAAGCCTTCGTGTTTCAATTTTCGGGTTTTTTACCACCAAATTTTTTTTAGCGGTACCAATTCTGGACTATTTCCAAATTTTCGGTACTATTCAGGTATTTCATGATTTTTGGTAATATTTTGGGATTCTCGGGAATATTTCGAGATTCCAGAGACTAATTCGATCCTACACGAAACGCTTAGGCGATAACAGCGCCAAATAAGATAAGATATTTATCAAAAATATTTAGCACACTTAAAGTTTCTAAATAAAATCATAATCGGTGCTTAATGACATCAAAAATACTTAAGTGCATATGTATATAGTACTTGATGGTTCAGTATTTACTATTTTGTTGATTACTAATATATATACAATGTTCTTATTCTTGATTTTCGCTGCAACGGCCAAAGCGATTGGGATGAGAGTTATGGAACTGTTAACTCTGGTTTAAGATTAAAAAAAGTTGAAGTATAATGGTTTTAAGGTTAAAGACAACTTTAAAAAATGGTTAACATTATTACGTTCTGAGGAGTAAAAACTGTTCCTAAAAATAGCATTTAGCTAAAGAGCTAACATTTGGAATTTACTTTGAAAATTTTCAACGAGTGTGGAAGCGTTGACATGTCTAGTTCTCTTCCCAATATGCAAAATGTACTTCCTACACACCCAGGAGTCACCTCCTTTACTATTCCTAGGTGTTCTGGCATAAAATGAAATCGGTGGCCGGCGGTTGTTTTTCAAACATCATTGAATTTGCACGCACACAATGATTTTAGAAATCGATTCGTAGTGGCTCCTAGTGAGGTAAGGAAAAAGTGACATTATTTTCCAACTCTCAATTCATTTTACTTTTGAGTCTATGCAGAGACGTCCGAAAAGAAGCGTGGCGCTTCACCAACATATCAGATGTAAAATGTCAAAATTGTAGAGACTTGGTATGTGCGAAGATCAGCCCAATTTTATACTCTGCTGATGCCGGTCACTACTCTACTATGAGTCACTAAAATATTCTTGCTAATAAACATAGTTGCCAACTTGGTTCTTTAAGCACTAGATTTAGTGCTTTTTGAAAATTAAAACGCCAAAAAAATTATTTAGTGCCTACTGCCTTTTTTAGTGCTTTTTTCCTGAACGAAAAATTGCTCCGAGATAGGTAAAACCTGAAATGTTTAAAGCTGTGGCAGCACTGAATTTACAAGAATCTACAAATTGAAATGCACTAAAATATAACCATGATTGATAAAAAGCTGAAGATACAAACCCATCTTGTTGAATTCTATTCGCGTAAGTTAAGTATTTCTTTTTTCTTTTCTAATTATTTGTATAAATTTTGAATTTTTTACCACCTGAATAAAAAACATCGTTTATTGGTGCTGAATCCAAATCTGGCCGCACAATTGCTTGGCACTAAAATTTTGAGACATCCTAACCCTTAAAATGCCAAAAACACGGTTTTTGACGATATTTGAGGTTATATAATGAAAACATCAAATTTGTTTGCTCATTTCTACTTATGGCATCATTTTCATTTGTTGCGATTCGATTTTTCTTTCTCCAGATATACCAGTTTTAATGCACAGTACTTCGATATTACGTCCTAAGTATGAGTCATCATAGCATGTGTAGAGGCTATTCAATCGTTATGAGCGAAAAGTTTTGTGTATTGATTTATGTATGTATTCTTTTGCTTTTGTTAAATACAATCTGTTATGAAAAAAAGCATCTTTTGATTGAAAAAAATTTGGTGCTTTTAGTGTGATAAAACGCTTTTTTCCAAGTTTTTGGTGCTTTTTAAAAATCAAAAGTTGGCAACACTGCTAATAAATTCTAAAGACCAAATAGTGCATGCACCTTTTCTTATTTACTCCGC